TCCCCTGAGCCTCCTTTTCTCCAGGCTAAACAACCCCAGCTCCCTCAGCCGCTCCTCATAAGCCTTGTTCTCCAGACCCCTCACCAGCTTCGTTGCCCTTCTCTGGACACGCTCCAGCACCTCAATGTCCTTCTTGTAGTGAGGGGCCCAAAACTGAATACAGTATTTGAGGTGCGGCCTCACCAGTGCCGAGTACAGGGGCAAGATCACTTCCCTACTCCTGCTGGCCACACTATTTCTGATACAGGCCAGGATGTCGTTGGATGACCAAAAATGTCCTGGAATAGGGAACCATGGGATTTATTTGAGGGGGACTGTTCTCATCAAAAAGTCATTTCAGCTTTTGGTCAGTGTAAGCCTTGTCCTTGCAGACCTGGAAACTTCTAGGCAGGTAGGAGTTTCTCCTGTCTTATTTTTCAGTATATCCAGTCTTTTCAGCTTCAGTGAGGAGATATATTCACTATGACATATTAACAGAGCATTTGATTCCAGTTAAGCTGTTGTCATTCTGCTATTCTCATGTCCACAGCATCAGCAGAAGACTTCATTTGTTAGTTCTCTCTTGTGTGGCAAAAGGTATGGAATATAATTTGCAAGTTAGATTGAAATTTGTCCTTTAGCTATAACTGCTGTATAGCTGGGTGTGAGTTCTGAGCCTTTGTGCACATCCAGTGCACTTAAGTCATTAATTCTCGGGATGGTCCAGAAATTCCCCGTGAAGTTATCTGCATAGTTGAGATAATGGACTGGCTTGAGACAAGTTTATTGACTGAACTCCTAGTCATCTTCCAACAAAGCATTTGACTAATTTGCAGAGGAACTCTCCAGGTCAGAATTTCAAACTGTCCCTAAGATTTTCCCAGGTGAATGCTGTGCCCAGACCAGTCTGTATGTTCAATGTGTTGATTGACACCCTGGGTGGAAAATCTGGCCCTTTCAGAAACTCCCAAGATGGCTCCTTTCCAGCTCGTCTTGTAGAGGAGCGTCACATTTGCTAATTTCCACTCCACGGGGGCCTTCCCAGCCAGGACTGCTGGCAAATGATTGAAAGTGGCTTGGTGAGCACTTCCGCCAGCTCCCTCATCACCCTTGGGTGGATCCCATCTGGCCCCATAGACTTGTGAGCATCCAGGTGGCGTAGCAGGTCGTTGACCGCTTCCTCTTGGATTATGGGGGGTTCATCCTGCTCGCCATCCCTGTCTTCCAGCTCAGGGGGCCGAGTACCTTGAGGATAACCGGTCTGCCTGCTAAAGACTGAGGCAAAGAAGGCATTAAGTACCTCAGCCTTTTCCTCATCCTCGGTGACAATGTTCCCCCCCGCATCCAATAAAGGATGGAGATTCTCCTTGGCTCTCTTCTTATCATTAATATATTTGTAAAAACTTTTTTTGTTGTCTTTAACGACAGCGGCCAGGTTGAGTTCTAGCTGGGCTTTTGCCTTTCTCATTTCCTCTCTGAATCTCTGAATCTCGTGATGCTGGTAATGAGTCACTCTCAATGTTAAAGCTCTTTAGTTAAAAGCTAGCTGAGGTATGGTATATACAAGCTGCAATCTTGTGCAGAAAGATGACTTGTTAAAATAGCAGTTTTAGCTTTTGCCTTTCTCATTTCCTCTCTGAATCTCTGAATCTCGTGATGCTGGTAATGAGTCACTCTCAATGTTAAAGCTCTTTAGTTAAAAGCTAGCTGAGGTATGGTATATACAAGCTGCAATCTTGTGCAGAAAGATGACTTGTTAAAATAGCAGTTTTACCAAAGTTAGGGCAGGGGATTTTATTGGCATGACCATTGTATTTCTATGTATTTTTAATTCAACTTGTTCAGGTCATTGTGTTCTCTTTTCTGTATTATTTTCCACATAAACCCCTTTCATTTAAATCTTTAACAAGTAAATCAAGTTTCTAAAAATAGTTCATAGAAAGGTGCACTACATTAGCTGGGAAATGTGTATTTTTTTATTATTTGTAAGGAATATACTAACTTAGTTTAATTATGAAGCTGATGTAGAAGAACTGCTTCAAACACAAAGAAAGCAGTCAACTTATTTTTGCCAAATAAGAATGCTGCTGATTATCATTGCACTTCTAATCTATTTTTTAATGTTTTCCAGAGTGCAAATTCAATAAGAAAACTAGTGAGTACTTTCTTCTTTTACTAATTATAAAATACTAATATTACACGTATTGAAAAAATTCGATATAGCACTGGTACAGAATTAGAAAAACAATAGTAACTAAACTTGTTTGTCACTTTTCTTTCAAGGTTCCCCCTGCAAGCACTTCAGGGCTCTGTTTTAAGAAACTAAATGTAACAACACGCACATATAAATTACTTATCAATCGTTTAGCAAGAAAAGTAAGTATATATCACCAGTGCATGGCATGTGTACACTTAAAAGATAACTGGAGAGCTATTCTGTTGTAGAATGCAATAGATCAGACTTACAGTGAAGGTACTACAGGATTAACTTTTGCGGTTCGGGTTCCTGGTAATTCATGGTGTGCTAGAAGCAAAAAATATACATTTCTGATACCATGTTTCACTTATATGTCATTTATCCAAAATGACACTTCAAAGTTCTTTTGAAATTTTAAAGAAGCTGAAGAAGTCATTTATACTTGAGACTATATTTCCAGCTAACCTAGAACTGAACAGAAATGTTCAAGACATGATAAATACTTAAGCTGCCTTTCCTGCTAGTCAATAACAGGTCAGAACAGATAACTTTGAATAATTGGGATGAGGTTTTTTTTGTTGTTTTATCATGCGACGTGTGATAAATAAGATTTATTGCTTCCTTAATTAAAAAGATTTCTGTATCATTATTTTTTCTCATGCCTACTTCATTTGCAGTTATGGGAAATGGCACTGACGAGAAGCTCTGTGATTTAAGCACTGTGACTGTTATTGCATGTGGCAGAGGCTGTAAAAAATACCTTTTGCTATAAGATGTAAAGACAGATGAAATACATCTTCGCAATCTGTTTTTATCCCTAAAATGTATTTGGTTTATTTTAGGTAGTAGTGGATTCTGTAATTCAATCATTACCATTTTCAAAAGAAGGACTGAGTATTCAGGATACTGGTGCAATGTATGTCGTTAATACCCCGGCTGGTATTAGCATCAAGTGGGCTCACATTACAGGCATCATAGATATACAGTATGGATTGCACTCTAACACACCAATGAAGACAGAAGGACTTTGTGGTGAGGCTATGGTGGCAATTTTTTTCTTATTTAATAACTACCCATTTAAGATTTACATCTCCCTTTTGTGTCTGTGACCTGCTGTCCCTATAGATCTCCTTGTGACTCCCATTAACTACACTGATAATCCTATTTGAGGTGGTCTTGTGAAATTCTATTAATTAATAATAATAAATCAATAATTCTGTTTCAAAGCACTGCTTGCTAATAAAGTAATTTTCAGAGCAAGTAATGATCAATACATTGTATCTAATTAACTTTTAAAAAATGTACTCATCTCTGCCTGCATTTAAGAATATTGTTGCAGTCAAGTAGAGAAAAGGGGAAAGTTTTCAATGGAGAAGTGGCTGCTGAAGAAGTTCAGGTAGTGACAGTATATTTCAGTGATTATGGGGGAAAAGAATAACTGTCAGATGTTAGCAGTGGCAGCTTATCTCTATGCAAATACTGATAAAAGGTGTATCTTGGGAAAGGTCCAAGTCCCCTGAGGATGGTGAATCCAAATTCAGACCTCTTAAGGTTGGATCTAGAGTCCAAAACTGTGCTGAGGTGTCTCAGGCTTAAATTACAATGATGATAGTAAATTTAGCATATTTCAGGCCTCCCTGGTAGCCTTTTTATAACTCTGCCAATATGAATTATATGGAAAAGTTTAAGCAGGTATTTTAGAGTTATTTTAATTCTACCATAAATGTTCATTTTCTGGTGCATTGTAATTTTACAGAATCTACCCCATATTGAACAGGAAAATGAACTTTTATAATCTTTTAAACTGCTTTTAGTTTTAGAAACAAATGAAACAAATCAGATATAGTTTAAATATACATATAAAAAAATCAAATGTTTCAAATCAATTGCTATATCCTGCTTGAACAAAAGGAAAGTTCTCCTAGACCTACTGAGAGAAGGTGAATGCTGGCCCTGGCAGGTACTGCATCTTTTCCCACTATCACGCCGTCTTCTCTATGCATGCTGGAAAAGATTGGGATGAGGTGAGGTCAAATGTAAGAAGGATTATAGAATTGTTACTCTTTGTACCATGAAAATAGAGAAAGAGGAAGACTATGCAGACAACTCCAACCTCTGCTGTAAAGTGTTGCTCTACCTGATATTTTGCAGTGAAGTCTGAAGCCTTCTTTAGTGCTTCTTTCCTGTTCTATGCCATTTGTTCCTGTCTGGGATTCTCCTCTCCTCTCCTTCTCCTACTGAAAATTGTAGGACTATGTGGTAAATTGGCTTTATTTTTAAAGCTGTATTGATTCTGCAATTCTGTAATGCCAGCACAGTTTGTGGGATGGCATTAGGACACCAGCAAGAAGCAGAAGTGTTAAGAATACTGGAAAGCGGTGCTACTGTCAAATGCTTCTTATCATGCAAATACCATCTTCTGTATTTCTCCATGCTGCCTGAGAGAATGGCAGAGCCTGTGACGCCAGGCTAGCCCAGTTCTAACAAGGGACCCTGGAGGGTATCAGGATGCGGGTGCGGGGCTGGAAGCATGAAGGCAAGGACTTAGGGTGTGGGTAGAAATGCAGAAGGAAAGTGAAAAAAGGATATAGGAACTTTGGCTGATCAGTCCCTGGGATGTAAAACACTATTATGAAGATAAAAATTTTGGCATTAGTGACTTGTTATGTGCATATAGGAAGTATATGTTTTCACTGATGAATTAACTGAATACATACAATAATGAATTCAGGTAGCCAGTGGATGTCAGGGGTTTCTGTGGGGCACTTTCTTCAGTGGTTTTGTATTAATAAATTGAGTTAGAAAAATATTTTCTCTAGAGAAAGCAATCTGCTCAGCAAAAGATTCCTTTGATAACTTCTTGCATTCAGAATGTTCAATTAAGTTTCAATACAGTGTCAAATCATCAGCGACATGCAGTTAATTTGAAAGCCATCTACATTGACTCCCATGGAGCCAATTGCTATTGAGTAGAATGAGATCAGAATGTGGTGCCATGTCAGTGAATTTGCTACACTCGACAGCACATTTTGGTAGCAGTTTTTCTCAAAAGTTAATTAATTGTTGGGAAAAGTATCATTACTTGTATCGTGTGGTCTGCTTGTTTTGCTAAGCCGTTGAGCGGACAACTAAAATCACAAGTAGAAAGTTGGAACTACAGTGGACATATAGCTGCTTTCATTTATAAATTCAGATGACTAAGTCTCACAGGTGAGCCTGATGCAATGTTAATCTTACCTTACCAAGTGTACGTTTCTTTCCCAAAGGAAGTAATGTGGCATGGTTTTTTGTGCTTTGAATGTGATGCTTTGTCTCCAGGGGTGTGTAATGGAGACCCTACTGATGACCTGAAAATGCAAAACAGGACCATAATTACAAATATGGAGGAAATTGAAGTGTTCATTAAGAGTTGGGAAATTGAGAAATCAGTTGATGCAACAACCAGGAGGCCAGTAAGAAACTGTACTGAAGATAACTGCACATACTGTATGGAACTGTTAAACAGAAGCATTTTCATCCCTTGTCACAAGAAAGTGAGTACGAAGATCAGAGACATTCCAGGTGCAAATTAAATAAAAGATGTATAGTTAAGAAAAGAGTGAGAGACATATGCATATTTTTTATGTTTTGCTTATTTTCATGAGTTGACAACTGGATGGGTGGCTTTAATACCTCTGTCATGTTGGCTTTAATACTTTTGTCATGTTGTCCATTGTAAACACACATCTATATGGATCCCTATGCTATTATGCTGTTTCTTAAATTAGTGAGTAGGCAAAGCTCAAAGGAGAGAAACCAGATCATCATCTCAACACAAACGCATTCCAAAAGAGTTATTTTTAATAAATGCTTGGCACGGATCACTAGAACTGAAAGCCTCATGCTTCTGCTGCATACAACAGCAACTCATGCGGTTTGAGACTAATCTGACTAAAGAAATTTCTAGTTAAACAAATTTTGCCATAGTCACTATCACATTGACAATCTGGTAGCATTTCTTACAGAAATCATCATTTGTTTCTGGACACCGTACTTTCTGCAGGGAATATAGCTGTAGCATGCAGACTACCACTAGAGGTGGGTAGTGCAGCACAGCTGCTTCCCGGAATGGGAAATGAGGAAGCTCCAAATCTCTGAGGTCTGACACACTTTTCCCACTTAATTCAAAATAAAAAGGATTAATTACTCAAGTGGCCCTTTCTTTCTCAGAGATAGATGTGTCCAGATTCCTGATTTACTTCTTGCTGTTCTGTCTTTCCACCCTCAGTTTGCATTGTGTTACTCTTCAGCTTTCATCACAGACAAATGCTGTTAAAGGTATTGCAGGCAGCTGAGCCCCTTCCTTCAAACTCCCAAGGCCTCTCCTCACTTTCCCCAGGTAGAAGAAAATGGAGGGAGCTCTTCTGAAAGGAAGGCGTTAAAGAGATTTTTTAAAAAAAAAAAAGATTAATAGATATTTGCCACAGAAACTTAATGGGAGGGAGCAGTGGTAAGCAGTTTGGAATCGAGAAAGGAGAGTAGCACCAGTGGGTAGCAGGACGCTTTTCATAATTGTTTTAACACATCTCTTTTTAAAACAATCAAAGGGAATCTGAATGGTCAGAAGTCCTACTTCACAAATGTTTCCAGGAGAACTCTCATAGCCTTAGATACAATGCAATTGCATCTTTTCCTGGTTTATAGCAAAACCTGACATAGCATCAAAATTGCCAAGCACTTGGTTCATCCATTATGAAATTTGTTTTCTTTTGTATACCCGATGGTGGCAGAGCCAGAGTGGATGGAGTGTATTGTGTGCTTCACAGGCATGAAGCAACTGAACAAGGATAGGTAAGAGTCATCAGTGTAATGAACTTTATGGCAGAAGTAAGCGAGTGCTTGAAGATTTGCTGAAACCACAGGGAGAGCTGGGCTGCAGCACAGTAGTGAACAGGCAGAATGAAACAAAATCTGATTTTTTTCCACCTTGCTATAGCTTACACAAAGAAGAACAACAGAAATAAGATAGATTGGACCACCTGCATTTAGACCAAGTAACATAGGCTATCGGATCCTATAGACACAGAAACAGAGCACTGAGTAATAATTCATTCACATCAGGAATTTATGGAAGGTGTAGCAGCAATGTTTATCTGAGATTGTTGACTTTTAGCTGACAGGGCTAAACTGCAAAAGTTCTTATAAGTAGTGTGACAGTCTCATTAGGACTGTGTTCTATGCCTACTAATGAGCACAAAAAATTCTGGCAGTTTGAGTTCTGCAGAATGAGTGTTCTGAAAAAAATGGTATTTTTTACCTTAGACACCACTTGTGATTTTTTCCCTTGCAGCTGTATTATTTCTCGTAATTAATGATTTATTTTAATTACAGAAAGCTCTTCTACTTGTTAATTCTCAATTACAATATCTTCCTAGGTGTCACCACAGGAGTTTTGTGAGAAGATGTGGATCAACAGTACTTATTTTTGGAATTATGAGTGTGATGCACTTTCTGCATATGTAGCTTTATGCAACAAGCACAACATCTGCATTAAATGGAGGACACCTGATTACTGTTGTAAGCAGACAGCCATGTTCTATAACCCAATGTGGCTTTATACTGCTGCAGTGTTTAGTGAGGAGTTAAAAATACATTTCTTTCTATTGTTATTGGAATTACCATCTCATTCTATCACAGCATTAGTAAATCAGGGTACAAGTTCTCAAGATATATTGTTTTAGTCAAAGTGTGATGAATCAGTTTTGATCTTGATTGAATGAGTGGCTTGCCTGAGGTACCATTAAAAATATAAATGTATGCTTTCTATGATGCACTCACTTGTTCTTACTACCTGTTTATCCAATGAAATGCTGAAAGAGTAACAGCAGCACTCAGTGTCCTATTTTTATGACTTGCAGCATTGAGTTGTCCTGAGGGCAAGGAATACCAGCCTTGTGTGCAACCCTGTGAAGCCAAGACATGCTTGAATAAATGGTTCTATGAAGATTCTCCCTGTTCCTATTTAAGGGAAGACTGTGTGTGTAAAAATGGCACTATTCTGCATAGAACAGATTCTGACCTCTGTATACCAGAAGAAAAATGTAGTAAGTGCAGCAGGACAGAGTGGTTTTGCAGATACGCTAATATTAACTGCAGCTCAGTGTAAGCAATGCTTAAGTTCTGTGTCAGTCCTCAGTAAGTGTGAACAGCTCCCTTCAACAGAGCCTAGCTTTATCTCAAGCTACAGCAGTTTGTGCTTTCAGTCCACATGGATTCAAGACCCAGTGCTGATGTCCTTCTGTTGGGGAAAAATGATGGTCATTCTTCCGTAGCTCCCAGGCTTTCTTTCCTGGAGTACTCAGGAAGGAATAGCATGGGCAGGTTCTTTCCCTTGCACTCAGTATTTATTTTCACCCATAGTGAAGCATTTGTTCATTTGGGGGTTTTAAGGTCATCATTTTTTCTTGGATTCCTTGACCATAATGCTCCACAGCACTCTTATTTTATGCAATAATTTTATGCCATTCATAGTTGCTTGCAGGAAATCTGCGCTCTCTACTTGTTGAAGGGATATAATGTTTTTTTCTCTCAGCATGTACAGATAACAAAGGACAACCCCGCTCTGCTGGGGAGATCTGGAATGGGTCCATAAGAGGCTGTTGCATGTACAACTGTTTAGGAAATGGAAGCGTTGTTGCTGTAGAACCTGAATGCAATGAGGATCCACCACCAGTCTGTGAAAGGGAAGGGGAAGTTATCGTCCACGTCATCGAAGAGAGAGCTTGCTGTCCAAAGAAAGTTTGTGGTATGTACCACACTTGTTTTCAGTAACAGAAGTATAAGGTAAGCGCTTGACATTCACTGGCAGATGACAATCTTCAGGCAGGGTTCAAGATAACATTTTTCAGAAGTGATTTTTGGGTACTTGTGGCTGGTTGAGCCAGCAAAACAGGCTTCTTTTCTTTCTAAGAACGACTCACTAAAATAATTTGTTTTTCTTAGGAGTCCACTAGTGAAACAAAACTTCTGTTAAAAATGAATTGTTAAGCTCTTGGGTGGAATTTCAAAAGAAATTGATAGATACTCGATGATAGAAGTACCTTGGTAATTGGGGAAGTCATCAGAGCCTGTTTGCTTTTCTTATTAGTGCTTTGGTGTCAAGAGCAGTATCCTCTGACCTACCACTGTTTCCCAGAAGCAGTATTCTGTGACCTGATCACTGAATACTAATATTCTGTCTAGCCATGGTTGTTAGAAAAAGGAATAAGCTTATTGTTCCTAAAACGTTGAGCAAAAGATACTTATTTCTTCATAACATCTTCAAGGAAAACAAGAACAAATGGTCCAGCTGATACGGTGGTTTTGCTCATTAGTTAGATACCTGTAACCAACACTTGTATGTTGTCCAACAACCAACAACCAAGTATTGTCAACTTGTTTAGGGAATATTTTCACTGGGACATTTTAGCTGGCTTCATGTGTAGGAAGCAGAGCAAGTAAATACCTGCTTTAAGAGGGATATAACTGTGCTTGCACAGTGCCACAGGAATGGAGCTATACCAGCCCTTAGGTTGAGCTCGGACATCTATATGATGGTACGGAGTGCCCCTTAAGCTGACTTGGGCTGCTCTTAGTTTGTGGATCTCTATACTAGATCGTATAAATATCTTGAGCTCTAGGCCTTGCACTTGTATCTGTTCAAATATGTCAAAACTGATTGTTTTTTATCCCACAGAATGTAACACATCATTGTGTGACACCATTATTCCAACATGCAAACCCAGTGAAAAATTAGTGGTAGGCTACCACCCCCTGTCCTGCTGTCCACAGTACCGATGTGGTAAGGGAAATACACCAACACAGTTACTGGGACATTTTCCACACCTGTATTATGTGTTGTAAGAAAATTTGCCTTACAAGTTGTTTTGATTGTTAACAGAACGGGACATTGTAAATAGCACCAGGCAATGATGTATTTTTTTTCACACTCTCCAATATTTTTTTGTGTTTGTGTTTTGTGTCACTTTTGATTTTCAGTCAATTTGGGGTATTTCGTTTTACTAAGGAGATGAAGAATATCTTTTCTTTACCTTTTTAGTATTGCTCCTGTGACTCTTTAAAATACTGTTTATTTCATATCCTACAGAATGTGATCCTTCAGTTTGTTTCAATGCTTCCCAGCCGGACTGCAGAGAAGATCAATTTATTGTTGAAGCAAAATGGGAAGATCCCTGTTGTTTCTCTTATCTCTGTGGTAAGAAGCCTCTAATATTTTTATGGATAACTAAGGAATAGTTAAGTATTTACAAAAACAGTCTATAGTTCTAAACCTAGTAACTTAAGCCAGGAATTCTTGGAGAGTTCAGTGGGACTTCACACAGGTCAGGCTGACTGGGGCATGAATTATTCTTGGGGTTTGGGATCTTTTATTTCCAACATAATTTTGAACATCATACTTGAACTTCGTTATGTTTTTCTATTTGAATATCAATCCATAAAAGCTCTGTTATCCAAGTAACAAACATAATATGATCTGTTACATAATCTATTAAATAGAATTCACATGTGCTAACTTTTCAGTACTTAAAACCTTATAAATGTCTTATTTTTTTTTAATTTAGTTTGTGAATCCTGTATTGAGCCTGTTCCCTTGTGTAATGAAGGGGAAATTCTCACTGTAGACCTTAATACCACACATTACTGTTGTCCGCATTACTACTGCGGTGAGTATAACTGTTGTCAGTTCAATACGTTACCAGATTTAGTAAAAATGACAGATGGTGTGTGTATGTGGAGATTTTTTTGATTCATCATTTAGGGTGGGCTTCAGATAGAGATTAAGATATCTAAATGAGTGTGTCTGCATTTGAGGTAGGTTCAAAGTTCTTGGTATACTCAGTGGTGGTCTAACCTACTCAGTCAATGGAGTCTGGAGAGGTTATTTAGTTCACCAGACAGTATGTAGCTACTTTCAGGGTGACCTAAATACCGATATATTAATGCGGAACTGAATCCCATCCTTGGAGTATAAATATACAATTGTTTATCTATTAAAACGCCTGTAATAAAACAGCTTCCATGTTGTTGTTCCTCTGTTGTACCATTCATTAGTGTTTAGGCAGTTTCTTTGCACTGTTAGCTTTTAGGGGAAGGAGTAGGCCAAGGGTTTCAAATACTGCTGAGTTGACTACTATTCAAACAAGGACCAGTCAGAAGAAAAATATTTGCAGTGTAACACAGTCACTTTGTTAGCCTTATAAAACACAGAAATTGTGTTGTGTGTTCTTAACCAATGTTTATAAGCATAACTGCTTAATTTAGATCAGTGGAGTGTTCCTGCATTAACTCTTGTCCTATTACAGTCTTCGGGTAATTTCAATTAATTAAATTGTCTTCCAGTAAGTTTGGAGCTTAGTGATTTTTACTTCAGGTGGTTCCACATTTTGGTCTTTTCCTTTTCCTAGTACTTGCACCCAGGTGAAAGTTTCTGCGAAGGCTTTTGTCACTGTTTTTGCCAACTTCTAGCAGCTAGACAGTTAGTATGTGGTCTTTTTTCAGAGTCCCAGTAAGCCTCCTCTGGTCAGACAGGCAAATATTCTCTTATTAGAGTCATCCCAGGAGGGCAGTTGCTCTCTGTTATCTTACAGAAATGTGCTTTACAACAAAGCCGAGATTTAAAAAACCATGTTTTTCCAAAAGCTGTGATTTTAGTTGTCTTTGGTACTTGTTATCGGCTTGAGTCACTCTGAAGTAGGAAGAACATTAAATGATTGCTGTGTGGTGTTTTCTGAAAATTTAAACTTGTTCTAAGGCAACTAAGAGCACTTTTGAAAATCTTGGGGGTTTTTTCAGTTCCAAGTATAATTGAGATGCTTAAGAAACACAATAAAAATTTACAAAAAATGTCATTATTTTTAGAATAGTTTATTAAGAGAAATATAAGCTGGAAAATTCAAAGGAAATTTGAGTAAATTCTCATACCTGTCTTTTCCCCCTATTTAGTTTGTGACGAAAATCTCTGTTCTGAGCCTCCTATGAATTGCACAGATGACATGATACTTGTGAAGGAAAAACCACCTGGGCAGTGTTGTCCAGAATGGCACTGTGGTAATTATAACTTTACTCCTTAGTCACTGCTGTTAACAAAAGCTAACAATTAGCTAACTGACTAATACGCTTTTCTTGTTCTCTTCTCAGAATGTGGCTGTGAAAACGCTACTATGCTGACCTGTAAATTGGTAAGCACTGTCCTTTAGATATTTTTATTAGTAGTGTTCAGCCCTCTTACCCCTCCCTTTCCATTCCTTGTTTCAATTAGTTGTAAAGGATGGTAAGGCTGAACAGAGACAGGCTGGGACTCTGCCTTCCAGTCCCCAGCTCGAGCATGTAACTCCATCAAGTTTCTGCACAGTGTTGGCCACTATTCCCGGGGGAAATTTCACTTTGTGTGTTTTAAGATGTCAAAAGAAGCAAAGGAACTGTAATATTATCCTGTTCAATGTTGAGTTGAAACAATAACTGGGAAGTTTTTCCACTTAAATAATTCCTAATTGTTTTTAATAATTAATGAGGAATGAGCTTTATGATCATATGTATCATCTGGAGAAATGTGTTATTTTGTTAATCATTTATGCTTTTGATTAAAATGATTTAACATTATTGAATTTAACTGGTATGAGAAGTCATAAATATTTTGCTCCTCACATACTCTCTCGTAATAGGGACTGTGATCTGGAGAATAATTATGAGTGAATGTTTGAACTCCCATTATTACCATAGTGACAGGGATATTTTCCCTATCAAATGCCTGTAGCTTGTCCTTCTCTTCCCCATCTGTGAAGACTGCATAACGTAAAATCTAAACAGGAGCTGCAAATTTGAATAGTTTTCACCTATTTTTTGGAAGAAAATTCATAGAAGGCAGTCTTTTGCTAATGTGTTTATTATTGAAATAACTTTGTATCTCAGGAAAAATTGCTGTTTAGCCACTTTGCTGTTTATATGCGTTTCTAGAGAAAATACTGTGCTTTGCTCCTGTTTAAAGAGATAAATACATTGAACAACTCTGAATGTACTACTGTTTCTTGAGTACATTGCAATTTTTCTCTTTTATGAAAGCAGGGGTGGAAGTGATGAAAGTAATATTTTACATTTTTAGAGAAAAACTGTCTGTTTAGCACTACATTTAATTGTGCATGACTTTGCAAACTCTTTTATCTTTCTATACTCAGGGAGAAGTTAAAAAAATAGATAGTAGCATTTCCAGTGCTTGTGGATGCACTCACTACATTTGTGGTAACTTTTTCATATTCCTATCTGTTTTGTTTTAGTTTTTAGTAAAAAGGGCATGCAAAGAACCATAATAACCTTCTCAAACGTAACCACTCTTTTATCTTGATTTCACGTGTGTCTACCTAGTTATGCAATTATGCTCTCTCTTCTGAATAAGATGCTTTGTCTGCTAACCCATCCATTTTGTGTCTGTTCTGGTGGGGCATAAGAGGGTCGTGAAACTGCCCACGCTTTCAGAGACAGGTAGTGTCTCTCTGTAAGAGGCAGATAGGAAGCAGGCTGTGAACCTTAGTGTGAGCGGTGCGACTGCTCCTAGTCCACTATCGAGCACAAATGAGATGACATTTCACACCACAGCAACAGACCTGTCCAGCCAGCACGAGGGTAGGTGCCCAGTCTTAAGATCAGACCTCTGCTCCCTTCCCTCACTCAGCTACCCCTGTAGACTAGATTTCAGCTGTACTGTGCATGGGGGTACTTGAGGCATGCTGCAATCCTGACTGCAGCCCAGGCTAAACTGCCTCCGGGAGCAAAGCACACACAGTACAGTTTGAGTATATTACTGTCCCACAGGTAATTGTAGACATATTATTTTAATTGACAGAAAGGCTACATTTTGTGATGTACAGAATAATTCCTATAGTGTACTTACCCCAATGTTAAATATTAGAACTCTTTAAAAAATAAGAACAACAGATTTTTTTTTAACTTCCATAGAATCAACACTATCAATTTTAGGCAGTTTTGCATGTTGTAGCATTTTCTTAAGCTGAATTATACCACCTCCCCCCCTTGTTTGGTAATTAAAACCACAAACCAATCAAATCCAAAAGTTAGAAAACTTTTGCGGAGCATAGGACTTTGCCCTACTTTTGTCTTCACAGCGATTCTGTTAATTTGCTTGATGAATTTTTCTTTCCTCTGGTAACATTTATTTATTTTGGTATTAGAGAAGGATGATGTGTGCATCTTCCAGGAGGTCACAGTACTGAATCCTGGACAGTCAGTGATTCAGTACTTGGATGGAGACCTTTGTTACACTGTACAGTGTTTACAAGAAAAAGATCAGAACACAGGATACAATGCCATGCATTTTACAATGGTGAACTGTTCCCAGCAATGTGAAGCTGTGAGTATTCTTAAAATATGGGAATGATGCAATTTGTGAGCACAACTACACCATTAAGAGAAAAGTCAAAATGAAGACTTTTGCTAGTCCTGTTTGCTCAACAGGAACTTGAGAACTTAACAGTGATGATGTATATCTTGTGTCTCCAGGATTATTCTGAGAGGCAATTTCTAGTAGCATAAACATATCCATCCATCCATCCATCCATCCATCCATCCATCCATCCATCCATCCGTATATTGTTTCTCTCGGCATTTTTAGTTTCAGAAATCAATGAATTTTCATATACTGTATGTTTAAAAAATACTTGTATTTTTCTTTTTTTGCTTTACTTCCTTTCCAGCATCAAATATATATGCCTTCCTCCAGTCACCATACTTGTTGTGGTACCTGTCAAAACGTGTCCTGCTCTTTTCATACTGAGAATGGAACACTAATTGTGTATGAGGTAAAGCCTCTGGACAGAGATAGAAAATAACTATAACGATATGATAAACAGGTGTCTGACAGTCACTTCTTAGTTAACTCATGCTGTGAGCCTTGCTTCATACCTCCTTACTGCTGGTTATGTACTTAGGGACTATTTATGGTATATGATAGGAAAAAAGTGTGTTTATTTAAAGACCTGCTATTTCACACTAGGTGAATTCCTTATTTCATTTTATTGGTTGTAATATTTTCTACAAAGATATGCGAATGCCATCATTTACTTAACTCTGGATATGCTCTAAGTGCAGGGTAGGGTTCAAATTGTAACTCTAAGTCATATACTGTGATTTAGATGAGTTGGGAGCTTCCGACTCAACATCAGGACTCCTAAGTCCCCCTCTTCCAAGGGCCATTCTTCTCCTCATTCTGGTTTCTACAGAAAGGAAGTGTGCAACCTGAAGCACTGGGGTTCAGGATCCTGATGGTGTGTTCCAGCATCCACATAACAAGGAAATTTAGACGTGGCCATGACTTGGTTCATGCTTCCCATTGCTCTTGAAGCAAAAGAAACTATTGGACTTTTTTTCTAGCACAGAGCCCTTTTGTTCTGAATTAGGACACCCATGCTGAGCAGCATGCTGGAGAGTAGAGCTGCCTACGGGTGGTCTGCAACAAACTTTCCACTCCAGTAGGTAATACAGCATAAGGGCACCACTTTTACTGACATTTGGGGTTGGAGATAAAGCTGAAATGTTTTGTCTTTCCTGACAATGGTTTTGTTTTATATATTCAGGAAGGAAGCACCTGGAGCTCCAACTGCACCAACTACAAGTGTGCAAAGACTGCTGTGGGGGCCATCATATTGGGATCGAGTGTTGTCTGCCCCCCTTTTAATGACACTGAGTGTACAAAGGTTTGTACTTTAGGTGAGGTAAGTGACAGTAACTGATCTGGAGTTTGGCTTACTCTTGACAACGCAGGCATACCTCATGCTCTTTCTTTAAACTAAAAAAGTGGTAGGTAAAAACACGTAAGTGAACAATTTACAGTCTTGTTTTCTGTGTTCCTGTTTGCTTTTTGACTGGCAAAATGTCTCTGAGGAGTATGAATGTTTTGGGTCTTAATGATGAGTGATTTTAAAGTATTGTGGAATTGGAATCACGCTTGACATACCACTATATAAAGTGCTATGTCTTACTTTAGTTTGGAATAACACTTTGCCAAGTTTGTAGTACACATACACTAAATAAATTGGATCAAGCAATTCAGAAATGCTGCATATAAAAGTGGGCTATATTAAAAATTCCTTAGGCTGTGCAAAGATTAGAAAGATGACAGAGTATATATAAACTTTATTATCTCTTAAACTAAACTTTGTATAGCGTAACAAACAATATCTATCATACAAGAAAGGGTATCTACCTACATCATATATCTAAAAATGTAAATTTGGCATACCCGTATAAACTGGTTTGAAGAATGTGGATGCTTCATGTATATTACATGTTTGTTTACAATTTTGATTTCTAATTTAATACTTCTCCAGCTTTATAATACTTCTTATAATTCTTGCACTTTCAGTACACCATATATTTAGTATAAGCTACAAATAAATATACATGTAGAGAGGGTAAGTACCATTTCTGCCTTGACTACAGGTTATAAATTTAGCACAAGTCCTACTTATCCATTGCGTTTGTTTAAAAAAGTCCTTATTTCTTTCAATTCTGAAGAAGGAATTCTATCTAAAATTAATGCCTGTTCTACTTTGACTTTATGCTCGAGTTTCGTCCTTGGAACCCTTTTGTCACTGTCTATTAGGATCTTTCCTTAGTAATAATGGTTAAGTTTTTAAAGAAAGGAGCCCTAAAATTAACTTCCTGAATCAGTCTGACCTGTTTTTCAGAGATGCTGAGTGTAGACTTGAACCAGTAGCTGAGGAGAAAGTTCTTCTGACTGGCAGCTCGGGATAATTCAGGAATATGGATTTAAGAGGCTGAGTTTAAGTGCTCATTTAAGAAGTTCTTGAACAACTCGTTCAGTAATTTTTCTGTAATGAGATAAAAAATGCATGCTAGCATGAAAAGACGGAAGCTGAAAAATGTCTTTTGTCTGTTGTTATTGTAAGAGTGCTATTTATGTTCCGCTGCCTGCTTGATATGCAGTTCTAGGCTATGCAGTAAAATTGTGGGTGCGTGTTTCTTACTTGCACCGATTCTGACAGATTCTGACACCCTCTCCCCCCCTGCCCCCACTCTCTTTGAAATTCAAAAGAACATTTTCTTCACTTTCATACATTTTTACTTTCTAGCTAACAAGCAACTTTAGAAGAAATCAATAACAAAGACTATAACTGAGAAAGAGAATTGAGCACACCAATAGTTCTGAAATTCTGCAGTTAATGTTCTCTTTCAAAAATGTGTATATATACATATATATATTTAATGTTGTAAAGAGCTACTTATTAAGTATTAATTTTCTCCTCAGCATATGATCAGTGTAAATCCTTTTACATCACCAGCAAAGTTGTATACATGAATTTTAAAAACTATCCTAATAAATCTCAGTGGTGGGGAAATAGATGGTAGTGGATGATATAAAAAGATGCTTATAGAAACTAAGTGGCTTATTCAAAGGAGACTAGATCAGATCAGATAAGCAGTGACGAGTTCATTTTCAATGTCAAAGGCCGTAAAGAATTTGTGAACCAAACCTTCAGCTGATCATATCTGTGTAATTCTCTTGATTTCAGCGATACTATTTTTTATTAGTTGGATACCTTCAAAACATGGAATGTCTTGAGATACAATTCACCTTTGCATTGGGCACAGTCTTTTTTGATATATTCTCCTTTTATTTTCCTAGAATGGAGGAATTGTGCAGACATATAACGATGGCTGCTGCAAGACCTGTAAGTGATGAAGGCTGCAATATGTGCTAGTTTGGCTTTGGTTTTGGAGGCCTTGTTTTTTAACCTCAGTTGCTGGGACATAAAGAAGGAAAAAGCATGCAGTCCCCCCACAAATCACATAAAATTGTTATAGTTACCTAACTACTCCTATTGAAAGGTCTTGCTTCATTTGGCTGCTGACTTGGTGATTCTTAACATTATTGTTCTGGAGTATAACTAAATCTCTCCAAATATAACCTGTGGAAGATGAAAAGTTATCTCAATTAAAACAATGAAAACATTCTTTTTATTGCTAAGCTGACTCTAAAATACTGCCTGTATGATTTTCACAAGAGAAGATAAGGATTTTGCCCCCCTAAAATTGATTCCTAATTCGATGACATTTTGAAATACGTCTCCAAACTTACCAATTTATTCTGTACCACTAGTATGTATTTTCTAGGGCCAAAATACTGGAATACTTTTTTTTTTTAAATCCCAAATGAGGAAAAATTATAGTAATACTGATGTTAGCAACCCCTATATAAAATTGACTTTTTAATATCTGGGAATACGTTCACATTTTCTGAGTGTGTAACTTTAAAATGTGATGAATTGTGATGCAAGCTTATATAAAGGTTTCATAATTTATGCAATTTTAAAAGTCAATTGAGAACAAACTGATTTTCTCTGCAGTTTTGACTAGGAAAGGTTTTATTACCAAGATATATAATTATGTATACATTAAAATAAAACACTGTTGTGTAAAACTAATTGTGTAGAGCAAGAACTTGTTGAATGCCACAGAAAATCCTCCGCCCTCTTTTTTGGCCTATGTTGTGTTCAACATTAGAGTTATATATATAACATATATATATAAAAATAACATATATATAAGCAAATTAGTCTTTGGAATTTTTTTAGACGAACCTTTACTTAGTAATATTGAATAGGAAGTCACAGACTTATAACCATACATTGCACAGTTATTAAATAAAATTCAGAAGTGCAATGTATTTTAAATAATTTGGTGATATAAGGGGAAATATTCATATTTATCAAATACAGAAAAATACTAGTTTCCAAGTTATGCAAAGCTTTGAAAGTGAACTGCAAGTATTGCTGTTCTATTGTATCCAAAACATAGAAAATAAAAGCTATTTTAATGCAACAGAATACTTTTTTTTGGAATGAGAATCAGCAGAGAAAAGTAACACACCAGAATTGTGCTAAAATCTTATTAATCAATACTCTTTCTCTAATGAGATAAGCTATGTTGAAAAATATTTAACTAACCCCCCCCCAAATTAGGTTGGCTCTATTTAGAAAATTATTCTAAAGAATTAATGGCTACTGGTTTTCCGTTGACCGGGAAGATTTATAAATTTGGCCGTATTCTGTGGCCTCGGGAAAGGCATCGTTATACTTCAGAAATACTTGCTGAGGTGGCTGCTAAAAAACCCGATAGAGTTCATACAATTACACGCTATTTTATTGTTATTTTGTTTTATTTTTAACTAAAAGCATGTGCCCTGTGGTGAAGCAGTTAAAAAGAGTACTTATAAATAGAGCTTGCAACACCTTGGGGTTTTAATGGGAACAAATAATCTTTCTCAAAGAGCTTGATTCAATGCATGCAAAGTGAATGCATATATTTAATTCTTACCTTGCCATAGAGAGACTCATTGCAAAAGTTTGGTTTACAAGGAAGCATCATTCCAGTTTTGTGTTAATCAGGAGAGTAATAAAGTTTAGGCCATCTTTAGTGAGACTTGAAGCAGCTGCAGAGTTTCTAAATTTGGAAGACTAACAGGAAAGCTCATCATCTTTTGCTGAAGAAAAATGGCATTTGGCAGTGTAAGAATTAATGAAATCTCATTTATGTAAAAATGTTTTTATTTCATGAGAAACTTATATTCCTAATGATTCTGCCAGGTTCTGGATTGGGTCTATTACCCTTTGCCATTAGTCCAGTAGTGCCTACTGATAGTATTAATTGTGAACCAGGTATTACTTTTAATAATGTATTTTCTTTTTTTAAAAATAGTGTAAGCACTGCTTGATATACGCGTATAGCTGTCATCACCATTAAATATTACCACGCAGTTAATGGTATTGGGCCTGATACTGAGAGATGCTGATCCCCTGTTGGCCTCCCAGATCAGTGGTTTTCTAAAGCCTGGTTAGGGTTCACTGCTCAGCACCTGTCAGAATTAGGTTCATCCATTTATGGTATATGCTGCTGATGGTTCCTCCTCCTGTTCATTTCTGAAATTGGTTTTAATACATGAACTTACTGTACAAGGTAGTTGTAATAAGAAACGTTACTTTAAATGACATCATCATCCTGAACACTGTTACCAAGAGATTCTAAATCTGATCCCAGGTCTCTGAATTTAATGACTGAACTGTTTTTGCCTTAAAATAGAGCAAGAGTGTGCATTACTGTCCGGTCTCACCTCTGCAGATATGGATCTATGCTGTATTTCTTCTTTGTCACAAATAACATGTTTTACAAAATTATGAAAATGTCGGGGGGGGGAAACCATACAATTCAACGACGCATTAATAAATACTTTTTACACCAGAAATTACAGAATGTTACAGAACTGTTGCATTATGATCATAATTCTTTGGTTTTAAGGATAGGTAAGTCACAGAAACTCCTTACTCAAGGAGCGAGTAAAAAAAGCACCCGTGGTACTGAATGCAGATCTTCTTGACCGTTGAAGGTGGGAGAGAGAAAAGTATAGCAGCAGAGTTTTCATTAGACATCAGCACCTGATGCGCTGAAACGTCATCTATCTCTCTATATGACTTGTAGAAGTACAAAGATTGCGTTGTCTACACATATTCATGCTGGCAAGCGCTTTCTGATGGAAATATCACAGGACTTCTTTTTCTTAAGTGTTGCTGAGGAAGCAAAACCAAGATGCTGTAGGCTAACAGCTTCGATCGTACAGTGATCTGCTAGTTCAGTAACAGAATCTTGTTTGATCCTGCAATGCACAGATTAAAATCTAGCTGTACTCTGCAGCCAGCCTAATTTTTAAATACCCGCTGGAGCTGTGGTTGCAGAATATCTTGGTTACTCAGAGCTCATTTATCTTATAAAAGTGCTTACAAGCTTCTGGGGAACAGAAAAGGTGTTCTTTTTGTGTACACCCAACCATGAAGGCATGTGCTGAAGGTGGAGAAACTCCGCTGGATAGTGCTTATTATTTTATATGCTGGATGTCCAGAATGGTTGCGTAGCAAAACTAACAGATGATTTTGATGGGTAGTGAAATACGAGATCTAAATAACTGCTGTTACACAGATAGTAATAACAGTCTGATATGGAGTGCAGCATGAAAGATCGTACGTTTAATTGTTTCAGTATTATATTATGATTTTTATTATGTTAAAAATGGCTTTGCACTGTACAGCTTTATTTTTCAAATAAAATAAAAAACCTCCTATCAATATCTCCCAGAATGTACTTAAAAATGCAGTATTTCCCTAATCCTAGATCCATATGCCGACTCAGTGCTACGTGCTTCAGTTCTGGCGGTAAAAACTGCACTACATTTAGCAAATACATGCATGTCTCTCAAAGCTTCCTTGAAGGACAACTTTCTCAAAAATATATTGAAATTATATTCTATTTGAATTGTAAACATTCAAAATAGCATCAAGGTTATAATCACATTCACAGATTTACCTTTTCAAATCTTAAGTTCTGAAAATTTTCTAAAATGCAGAATCAAAATCTTATTTACATTCAATATTCCTATTAAAACAGAATTAATCCCAATACCATTCAAAATTACTTGAGACATATTTTTTCTAATTGCTTATATTTGCCTTGCCATATGTGCAATTTAAAATCATATTAATATTTTAATATTTATAAAATCTGTATAGCTTAATGGGCCACCTGATGCCTCATATGTGCCAGCTATAAAAACGATAATTCTGCACAGGAAGTATTTATTAATATATGAGGTTTTTTTCCTAAAAAAATATTTAATTATGGAAGTAATAATTTCAGCATGTACATTAATGAAAGCAAAGTATAATTATTAAAATTATTTTAATAGTTTCACTTTTTTAGTAGCAAACACAGTACAAAAAGTGTATTGATTCAGTATGCATTTTCTGTATTTTATCAGGCAAAAAGGAAGAAAGAATTTGCCAGAAAATGACGATCAGGACAACCATAAGAAAAAATGACTGTATAAGTCAAAGCCCGGTAAGCATGAAAGACCTGTGTTTGATGCTCGGCCTATGGCACACCAAATCAAGTATTAAGAAGTAGGTTATAGCTATCAACAAGCAACAAAAAATGCTGCTACCTTCTCAAAAGCAGACCTTTGACCCTAGGAATGTTATCCTACTTGTAAATGGAGTAAAATTAGCTGTTCCTATGGCTGAAAGACTGAGCCCTCCTACCTGGAAAAACATCTGGCTTCAAATGAAAAGTACACAGCATAATTGCTCATAACTAACAAAGGCATTGAACTCTTCACCATGAAATAACATCCCACTCTAAAAGAGGAGTAGAAATGCTTCTGCTTAGGATGTGATGCATTCCTCTTTGAAGACCTTTACTCTCTGGCTGCCTTTCTCCTTCACGTAGCATGTGTCGCCATATCATAAATTCATGATCCCATTTATTTATGGGTCTGCTTAAGATCTTATTTCTCAGCTTTGGTGTAGCCCCATCTACAAAACGCAGGACATCTCCGATCAGCAAATGTGCTTCTCATGTAGCACTTAAAGGAGAAGCAATTGACACAGCATCTTGAGACTTCCAAAAGGCCTCTGATAAGATTCTGTTGAAGAATCTAAACAGTCATAAGGGAAGAGGCAAAATATCATCACAGATTGAAAGCTGAGAAAGTTAATTCCCATCCTGATAGAAGGTCAACAGTGAGATGCCCAAAGTTTAATAGTAGAGTAAGAGTGTGTGGTCTATTTATTTACAGAAGAAGGGTTGGTAATGAAGGAGTATAAATATGTAGATGAAATCTGTTATTTGCCATAGTTAAGAGGAGAGAAGACTGTGGAGAGCTTCACAGTTACTTCAACAACCTAGGTTGAGGGACAGCAATATGACAAAATAAAGACATGGTATCGACTAAAGCAAAGAATATTAAAAAGATTTAGTCAAACCTCATAGGTTTTTAAGCTAGCTAAAGGAGACCTTGCCCTTGCATCCACTTCTGTGAAAACCTCTGTTAAATGCTCCCCTGCAGACAGAAAGGCTAACTAAGAGTTATGACATTTAGGGAATAGGACAGGGAGTGGAAACAAACTCATTCTAGTATCTCTTATGAGCCAATGGTGCAGTACTATTGAGGGTGCTCTGTGCAGTTATGGTCCCTCTACATTGCTGCAGAACTAGAGAGGGTTCAGAGAGGAGCAACGAGAATGTTGGCCAGGTCATTCCATGAATGGCACAACAAATGAAGCCTTCCTTTTTATGACTTTCTATTGTAGATTCTTTATCTTTCCTTCCCCCTCTACGCACCTTCCAAAAAGACCTACTGCATCCCACCTCCATCCGTATTACAACCCCCTTTTCCCCAGTATCCTCTTGTTCCCCATTTCCTTGATGGCTGCCCACCCTTCCCACAGTCCAGATTCCCTCACCCTTCACCCAGAACTACCTCCAGATTTTCATGTCCTCAAATTCTCTATTCATATCCTTAGCTCCACTTCCTTTCCTCGCCAGCTCCCCCACTGCAAAACCCCTGGCACTCTATTTCAATCACGTGATTTTGGCCCATCAAATGGTGGTATCTGCTATGGCTGGTTTCGAACTACATATGTGTTCTTTGGCCACATTAATGCTGTCAAACTTTGGATAGGGCTGAGTTGGATTACATTTAATTAATTAATAACGGAGATTATTAGTGCTTAGGAGAAGGTAATTTTTTTTTCCCTGTCAAATTTCAGGAAAGCTGTCAGAGTAACCTTTTGGTCTAACTTGTTTGGATACGGCCCATTTGTTCACAGGCTGTTTGGAAGGGAGTGGCTCAAAGCAGCTTTCATATGCCTCACTTGCATAAGAAATCAGATTTAAAACTATCACAAAAAGAACTAGATCTAGTATGGCTGTTCTCGATTTCCCAGCATGTCAACTCTGCTTAAGTTTTAATTAAAAAGTATCAGTTTCTTTTCTGTCAGAGTATCAGCTAAGACGACTCTTCACATAACATAATAGTGAGAGAAAGCTTTGCTCTGCTGAAGTCTGGAGCCCAAATAATTTTATAGCCAATCTCTGCCCTTGCTGGTTTGTTACTGCATCTACTTTTTGGATATATTTGTTACAGTGGTAACACAGCTAATATTGGTGTGCCCTTAGTCACAAGCAGTATGAATAAGAAAGGGAAAAGCTTTTGCACTGATATGCTTTTCCTCTTGAACCTTCAAGGAGAAGGATAGACTTTCCTTCATTTTGCTTAGAAGAATTTAACTTTTCAGCAGTGAACATGAAAAGAACATGGATTTATCTATGCTGTTTTGAAGTTATTAATTTGTAAACTAGGGATTCAATTTTGGTATCAATCGCACAACATTTTGCTCAAGGTTAAGACAGAATACATGATTAAACAACCAAAAAAAAGTTCAATTAAAAAATTTATCAAGAATGCGTCTACACTTAGAATGAATGAATTTTAGAAGATAAAATAATTTTTAAGACCAAAGTCCTTTTCAAATGTAAAAATGGATTTTAATCACAAAGAAGTTTGAAATGTAGTATCTTTATAACAAATTCTGAGATGCCTAACTTCAGTTCTTCTTTTACTTGTAGATAAATGTTGCTTCTTGTGATGGAAAATGCCCATCTGCAACAATTTTCAATGTCAATATTGACAGCCATTTAAGATTCTGTAAATGTTGTCGAGAAAATGGAACACGTAATCTGACTGTGCCACTATACTGCTCAGGAAATGGCACTGAAATTACATACGTCATTCAAGAGCCTATAGACTGCTCATGCCAATGGAACTGAACATTACCGTGGATAGGATTTCATCTGAAGAATTGAAAAGAGTTTCCTTTCACCGGACTCTATTTTTTGACCTTGGATGGCTATAGTATGGTGGGGGGGGTGTGGGGCAGGATGTCCTCAATTATGCTTTATAATGCAACTTCTCACAAATTTAGTAAAGGTGATGTTGTACGCTGTTCTTCAAATTTTCTTTTTAAATTTTGGCATGTAAAGAAAGAAAAATATAAATCCTTTAGAACAAGGTATAATTTGGCCATCATTTATTTCTACTCAGTGGCTTTCCAATGAGCTGTTGAAAGCTGGTTAACGTCTGTGTTTCCAGTGTTTTAAAATTTTGGATTGTGGCTACCAATCAAAGTTCAGAATTTCTCAATGGTTCTTTTCCTTTTACTTAGAAACTTCCAGTTAAGAATCATCACTGGTCCCATGTTTAAATGGGAAAGAAGAATATTAGGGTTTTGAGAATGACTGAATTAATTTATTAAAAAAATAGGGGGTTCAACTGAAACATTTTTTATCTTGCTGAAAGGTCTATCTTTTGTCCATTAAGCTGTTGTCAATGACCGGACTCTGCTCACGCTGTAAGTTGCTGAGAAACACAACGACTGTGGTCTGTAAGTACCTGTAGTAAATGTCCAGAGCATACTGTAGAATCATAATAATGTCTTTAAACCTTTGACATTTATTTAATTTTGATATATATTATAAATATGAAGCATGACTAGGCAGAGGCTGAAGAGTTCAAGCTTTTGTGTCTTTATTAAAAGTATCTAAAAGCTGTTTCTGATATGAAGGATTCTATTTTATATGCATTTCTCAGTTTTCACAAATAAGAAATTGGCTGTCTACTAGCTGCAGAATAAGATTCTATGTGTGTATATATATTTATTAAAAAAACAGGATACTGCACATTTTAACTATTCATAATGGGTTTCTTCCTTTGTTTTCCAGTTTGAAGATTCATGTTTAGTATAGTTTTATAAAATACATAAAAATTGGTTCATTTTTTAAAAATATTGAGATTTGGACTATTGACTGAATTTAGGATTCAAAATTTTTGAGTCCAGGAAAAAACCAAACAGGTAAAATATAAGTTACGAAGGGCTTAGGTGAGCTATTCATGTTCAGTCAGGCTGTGAATGTCCATGATTCAGCACCTTAAGCTGAATATGCTCTCCCTTTTACTAAACATACTACATAATCTTATCTTAAAAACTAAGGATACAATTTTAGGCTTGTTTTTAGAAGATTACTTTGCTTTATAAACTCACTGAATGAAACTAGTTTAAATGATGACAGTGGGAGCTTTGCCATTGACCTCAGTGTGGCCAGTATTTTCCTTATCATGGAAATTGTTTCAGAATTAAAAATCTTGTCTAAAAGTCTGAAAACTTTTTGACAAACAGTTTTTATTTCAAGCTGTCATCATTTAATTACAAAAAGGTTGGATTATCACATTGGTTTATACAATGAAAAATAAGCAATATAAAATTTAAAAAACTTAAAATCCAGGGCTATTTTGCTACTTTGTGTGACAAATCTTTAAACTTTTGCTGTATTCAGTTTGATGGCTTATAAAGAAAACTAGCATATATAGTAATAATAAGACTGTCATGTACTCATCCATCTCCTTAAAAATAGTAAATTCATTTAAAAATTAAAGAACAATCCATTGTATTATCAGTAAAATATTTAATCATTATAAAGAAATAGTGATCACTTACTGATAAAAATAAAGTGCTGTTCTGAGAAAGCATATCCTTCGTTTGCACGTTTTTATGATTTGTATGGCAGATATTTCAAGTTATTATATACTAGGGCCTAGAACCAAAATATTCTCTGATATTGCTGTTGGAATTTGTGTACAGAAACTTTTCATGCAGGCCAGAAATGGAAATTAAATCATAGTCGTAGCCGTAAAGTTTGTGTACTCACACAGCAAATTAAAAGGACAACTTTTAAAAGAAAAATACATCCTTAGGGCCCTTTGATTTATTAACACAGAGATAGGAATCCTATATTTGCATCAAGAGAGTTTGGCCCAAAACTTCTTAATCAATTTAGCATTTGATAAATTACTTAAGGAAGCTCCTACAAGATAGCATTTTTCCATATAATGACTGAACACTTGATGTGTTTTGATTGAACAGCTGTGCTTTTTATAAGCAATGTGCTTTTGTAAGATTTAGAACTGTAGTTGTAATTACAGAGAAATTAATAAACATTGTTTTGCAGAATGCTAATAAATCAGTGCTCATGCAATTAATTTACCTGTGCCACTAAAGATGAACGATAATGCAAAATCTTAGATGATCCTGGAAATTAAAAGCAGTTATGGTTAAAATTAACTCCATGATAACCTGTAATAGGAAAAATGGTATTAAAAGATCTTTTTCCCACTGACCCAATTTGGTTTTTTAAGTGCAACAATCAATAGGAACTGTGTCAGGATCCTCCCTGAAGCCTACAGCAAAATCTTACATCTTCAGTGGAGCTGGATATGGTCTAAGATTGCCTTCCATTTTACAATTAAATTTCAAATTCAGACTGTTTTGGCCTGGTCAGAAAGTGAACCTCTATGAAAACTTGTGAACCATTTTCTGGACAGCCACCCCACCCCATTAGCTCCACGAAGGTGACATTGGCATCATGTGGTATGTTTTATAGAGTGGGAACTAGCCCTCGCAGGCCTTGCAATGGATGGAAGGTCTGAATGAGCCTGCAGTGTGGCAGGACTGTTCTGCCCCAAATATTTTCTCGGTCTGTAGCTTAAATATAAATGCAGATGCAGTTCGTGGTTCTGTCTCTGTTTCCTCATCTCTCTTCAACTCT